AAAAAAAAAATAGAAAAAGAAAAGAAACTCCTAACACAAGAGATACTCCTCAATCATCAAAGCAACATATCGCGATCTCTTGTGTTTGTTTCTCATACAACTTTGAGTCAAAGATGGGAAACTGAAAAAAGAAAGAAGAGTCAAAAAAATAAAAATCTAGTTGTATTTTAAAAATGAAAAACAGTGAAAAGGAAGGAGTGACTTGACCCCACATCATCATATGGCCAGCCAAAACCTCTCAAACAAAACTTCCTCTGAGAATATATTGATCGAAAGATTGAAAAATGAAAAAACAAAGTTTTGAGAATCAGATCGTCTTGAGATTGGTGAGACTTAGTTCGACAAACGGGACGACCACCGCTTTCCAAAAGATGCTCTCTATTCTGCTTTGTAAACACAAAACTCTGCAATTAGTCCGAGGACTTTGCCATTATGTGCCCTCTTAATTCCCCCACGCAACTTCCATTCACGTAGCCCCCACGCTTCCCCGGCCTTCTCAAGTCTAGGAAGAAAAATGCCATACAATGTTGTTATAATTAAAATTAAAATGCAATAGGTATAATATTATATAATATTATAAATTTATAATATGATATATTATTATATAATAATTATTTTTATTTAAATATTTAATTGTAATATTTATTTATTTATTTATTTAATATTACATCATAATTATAAATTTATAATCTTAAATTACATTATAATTATAGTTTATAATCAAAAAACATTATATTTAACACAGTAAGTGTTTGGGTTAGTTGTTAAAATACAACTAATAAATATCTAACCATTAATTGTTGTTCTTTGTAATCTATATACTCTAATTCACCTAGTTAGTATTTCGTTTTGAGAACCTTGAGATGAAGGTTTAGGGTTTTTGTTCTTTTAATATCTTTAAAATATTATATATATTTAATACAATTAATATTTATTTAAGAAAAAAGTATTTATTTGTTAAATTTAAAAAAAAACCTTAAAATTATTTTATTTCAATAAACTATCATTTGAAAAAAAAACTGAAGTAACTTTTTTTTTAATAGCAAGAATTAAACTACTTTAACATTTTCCAGTGGTGTTTTACAATAATATTGATATTTTTTTCTAATTTTTTAAAAATTTGATAAACATTAATATCTTATTTCACTTAATATTTTACACATTTTTAAATAGTTAAAAAAAAAAACACACACACACTAAAGCATAGCTTGGACTTACCAAAGGAAAAGCCTAACAGTGAATAACGATATCAAATCTAACAAGATGGGCTTTGGGTGGTCATTGCGCCCAAGATCATTGACCGGAGATGGGCCCAATAGTCAACTCATACAACGCACTCTCCGTTGTCGGAGACGTGGAATACACGCTCCGGGAAGGGGAGATTAGTGGGGGCTCTAATGTCTATAAATTGGAGTAATTAATGAGGATCTTGGTTTATTCCCCTTTTTTAATGAAACTCTGGGATTTGCTTAATCATGGAGAGGACAAAACGGAAGAAAAATAATTAATTAAAGCTTCACCGCCACAAAAACATTACGCTTCGATACGTGCTAATTTAATGATGATGTTATGTGGCTCGTTGGATTTGGTGGGTCCCGGAGCTTCTGTCTTTTTTTTTTTTTTTTTTTTTTTTTTTTTTTTTGCACTTTTCCAAGGTAAGCAGATCTATCAGACCGAATAATAATTAATGATTAATCTACATCGTTAATCAAGATGCCACGTGGGAGTCGTGTGAGGGTTTTCTTAGCTTGCATGCATGCATGCATGCATGTGTCTGTGTTTGTATGGTTTTTTAATTTTTTTAAAAAATAATAATAATTACGAGAATTGGAATTGAAACAGTGTCGAGACTTGAGTGCATAAAATAATACATTCCTCAAAAGCAACGAGATACAACTGGAATGTCTCCTCTTCTTTAATAAGAGTTTGGTTTTGGAATTTGAAATTTCCTTCTTTTTTTTTTTTGGCCCTTTTGATATGTATATTTCTTTGTTTGGTATTGGTCTAGTGATTTTGTTGTTGACAGGACTTCTTTGATAGGTAAGGCTAAAGTAAGGAAGGGGAAGAAGAAGGGGAAGAACAAGAACAAGAAAAAGAAAAAGGGGAAAAATGAGGACCCATTTGACCAACATTTGTAAAAAGGGTGTTTTGTGGGAGAAACCCCAAATAAGATGTCCTATGAAATTACAGATAAGTTGTGCATGTCTGTATCGTGGCATCTAAGAGTCAATGGAACCTCTATTTTGTCTCCTCTATCAGGTTGCCTATAAAACTATACCCTAAACCCGATAACTTAAATATATTTCTTTTCTTTTTGTAATGGTTTTTCTTAATTGGTTTTTTAAATTTATGCATTAAGGTATATATTAAAAGTGAATTTATTGTATTTTTTTATATTAATTTACATAAAAAATAAAAATTATATTCATTTTAACATCATTACCATATGAATAAAATTAATTAAATAATTATTAAAACTAATAGAAAAAGTATAACTAATGTATTCTTTTTCATTAAAGTAATTAAGAGTTTATGAGTTAAAAGTTGTATGATACGTAAGTGAGATGGAATAAGTTAATTAAGAAATAAGAACACTTTGATTTAAAAAAATAAATTATAATATGAATTTTGGCCAAAAAGATTTAGGTTATGAATCATTAGGTTTCTTAGCCAAGGGATAAATGGGGAGGGAGAAAGCAGAGAAAATATTAAAGAAAAAAACTTCTACTGTTTATTTTTAGAAGCAATACTCCTAACGAGTGACATTTATTAAAGATTATTTAACTTTCTTTTTAAAGACATACGAAACCATTTAAGTACTTGTTTAGGTCTAATGTTATGAATCATTATTAATGTTTAATTAAGCATACAAATTGATAGTGGATGGATCCCACAATGTGTAACACGATCTTTAGTTAGGCAAATCTATATAGACTAGTATAATATCTGCATCTCAGCTCATCATTAATCTCATATGAAAAGGATCTACGTTTCTTTTCTTTTTCTTTTTCTTTGTTTACTAGTATAATAAAGAGATTCATGTTGGAATGCCTCAAAATTGGGATAGGTATCGTCGGCCGGGATCTTGTTCATCATCTTGACCACTGCATGCATGTCCTTTACGTAAACCGATATCCTTTTATCACTTCCCATATGATCTTTTTTTCTCTTTAAATCCTTTGAATCTCTACAGAACCTTTTTGTCTCCCAAATTTTTTCCTAACTAAAAACTCTTCAGGGCACTCTCTCTTTTCACCGTTGCTGTAAGTCACATAATTGTTTTCTTGACTGGTCTTTTCAAAATCTTCGATCTACTGCCTACAAGCATCGATCTAATTTATTCCCTAGCTCTTCTGTCCCTGCCCAAGAAAAGTTTGAGATCAGCTGAGACACAAAACCATGAGTTTGAAATTTTTATTCCTTAGCGGTAAGTTAATTTGATTGTAACTCAGGTTTGGTATTTAAGAAAATTAGTTTTTTAAATATATCAAGTTGATGCAGAAACTGTAATTTTAATATCATATAAAAAAAGAATTAATTTTAAAATATATAAAAATTACAAAAATTGACTTAAAATACTCTGATTATCTAAACTAAAAAAAAAAAAAGCATTAAAGTTCATAGTTCCTCTTTGGCCTTAGCCCTATTGATTTCATGTCATTATCAGATTCTTTTTATTCTTTCCCTCCCTTTTGTTTGCAACCTCGCATACGCATCACCAGGATTTTTAAAACAAATTAAAATTGGTTAGACCTAATTTTGCATGATCTATGAACTTTAACTCTCTAATTTATTGATTGTGGAAATTAAGAGGAAATCAATACTGCGCCCAAATTTTTCATTCTAAAACCAAATATATATTCATATGCATATGCAGTACTTTCAATCTGTTTAGTATTGCATAGTTTTACATATATATACGGGTGTAGTTTGTAGTACAAGAAATACACATGTTACATGTACATATAATTCTTTTATGGAAGTGTATATATAAATCAATGACATAATCTTGGACTCAAAAATCAGATAGCTGGGGACGAAATTAAAGAATCTGCAGTGCCTTTTTCATGGGGAATTGTTATTTGGTAGTATCAGATTTCAGTGTGGCTCTCATTACTCATTAGAATCAGTGGGGTTTGGAATCCGTCAGTGTCGGGTCCAACCAGTGCTCTCTCTGGCTCTGTACAATCCTTAGCGACAAGAGTCCAATTGATAAGCTTTTGGCAGTTACTTATTCTTCTCTAGATATATTGTTTTATTGTGAATATAATAAAACTGTTATACACAAATTAAGAGTTGTTATATTATATATATATATATAGAATTAACTAAAACTGGTTAAATAAATCTATCTTAATAACATATACAATAGTATAATATAAAATTTAAGATTTACTCTTATAATGAATGTCTCTTAATGAATTTATTCCGCATATCATAGTTTATCCATCACCATATGACATATATCCAGAAGTGGTGGCTTAGGTGACAAAGCCTAAGGTTTTTTTTTTTTTCTTTTTCTTTTTCTTTTTAAACAAGGGCAATTTTGAAAAAGAGAAAGGATTTGGACTCAGTTCATATGCTAAGAGATGCACCTTTTTATCAAATGGCTTATAAGGTCAAGTGCAAAGCCTAAAGCTATTTGAGCACTTCTAAATAAATATCTAGATGGAATGTTCGAATCACTGAGAACATCATATATGGGTATGAAAATTGATATGTATGATTTATATAAATAAAATTTTAAATTCAATGATTGATTTTTAAAAGTATTAATTAAAAATTAAATTTTTAAACATATTTTTCAAAATTGAGAAAACGACCTTGCAAAACACTTTCCTCATTTGAATACCTAATTTTAAAAAATTTTTATGAAATTATATAGTATTAAATTTTTTTTATTATTTGATTATTTGATATACAAGTCAAATGAATATATATATCTCAAAGGCCCGGAAAAGATGGGCTTATAGATGAGCCCAACCTTTGCATTGTAGGTCTTGCTGCCTTTATTTCAACCCAAAATAGAGATGTTTTGGGCTAACATTTGAACTTCAGATACGGGCTTTCTATTTCCAAACCCCGCCTTCTTCTTCTTCCAAATTCAAAGCCTTAAACCCTCTCTTTCTGCTGTCTCTTAAACCCTAGCTGAATCAACTGTTCTTCTCAATTCTCCACTTCACAAGGAAAATCAGCTCAACAATGGAGCCTGAGGCATACACTGATTCAATGGACTTGAAGGTTAAAGAGTTGTTGAAGGAGGTCCGCCTTGAACACACAGCTTCCGTCACCAAGCTGGTCGACGATACCGTTTCCGCCATCAAGTCCGCCGTGGAAAGAGTCCCCCACGATTTTCAGGTCCCTTTTTAAATTACTTCATGTCTTCTTGGTTCCATGGAAGAAACAAATAATTCCAGTTTTAAGCTTCCTGTAAATTAACTAGTTCCGTTATAGTTGGAAATTATGTCATTTCTATTTTTTTTTTTTCTTAATTTTGTATAGGAAGAAGAATGACTGATTACCTGCGTTGGGAATTTGTGTATCGAAAATTTATGCAGGTTACGGCTGATTTAGCTCCGGCTTTTGTAAGAGACATTGGGGCGGACAAAGTGGAGTTTAAGTTTAAGAAGCCGGAATCTATTGAAATTGGTGGTAGTTATTCAATAGGTTGCGTAGCGAAACCATATCTCAATGTGGATGTCTTCCTCCGGTTGCCAAAGGTATTTGCTTTAACTAATTACAGAGTTTCATCTTTGAAAAATGTGATATTAGTATTACTTGATTGTCTTGCATGTGTATTTTGTTAGTTCTTTGAAGTCAAGGTTAAGCTTTTAGAGTTAGTGTAGGAAAGTATTATGATTTATGATGGCATGACAGTAGTTGCCTAATTGGTTTGGGGGTTGTTTGGATGTATAGGTGTTAGTGTTTTCTAATTACCTGTCTCCCGTGGCAGGAGTGTTTTCATGAAAAGGACTATCTAAACCACCGATACCATGCCAAAAGGTGTCTTTACCTTTGTGTAATTAAGAAGTACTTGAAGTCTTCCTCGTTGATTCAGAAGATTGAATGGTCCTCCTTTCAGAATGAGGCTAGAAAGCCTATTTTGGTTGCCTATCCAGGTTTCTTTCTTTGTAGAATTATTGTTATTTTTTAAATAATTAGTTCTTCACATTTTACTGATTTGTTTGACAAGTTTATTTTTTTTCTTATATCCAGCTAAATGCTAATTATTACATGCACATTGTGAAATTTTAAAACTGGCCTTGTAGGTGTGAACCTCACTGAAGCTCCTGATTTTATAGTAAGACTGATTCCTACAGCAACATCATTATTTAACATTTCAAAGTTGAATTTAAAAAGAAACAATGTCCGAGCTCATAATATAGGTTTGTCTCTGTTTTGGTTCAAGTGTGTTGTTTCTAGCTGCATGACAATGTTCTTTAATTACATTGATGATATATACTGGAATCTTCTTGAAGGTGGTATTCCTCAGCCTACACCAAAGTACAATAGCAGCATCTTGGAAGACATATTTTTGGAGGATAATGCAGAATTTGTCAAGAAGACCTTCTTTGGATGGAAGGAATTGAGTGAGGCCTTAATCTTGTTGAAGGTATGATGTCATAAATACTTTTAGGACTTAAAATATTAATATAATTTGTCTAAATAGGGGCCATTAATACTTCTATGATACTGATACAGGCATGGGCTCGGCAGAGAAGTTCGATATATGTGCATGATTGCTTAAATGGTTTTCTGGTCTCCATCATTGTGTCATACCTTGTTGCTCAGAATAAGGTTAACAAGTCTATGAAGGCAATGGGGATATTTCGTGTTACAATGGACTTTATGGGTGGGTTAAGGTTTACTTAGTTTGTTTGCCTCTAGTGTAGTTATTAGACAGCATGTTCAGAGCACGAAGTGAATTAACACAAAAATAGTTTGCATGTTCATTGCACCGTTCATATGATCACTTTCTTCTGCAGCTAATTCTCAGTTATGGAAGCGGGGGCTTTACTTTCCTCCACAAGGCCAGAATGCTATTTCAAAAGAGGTGTGTTATGTGTTTTTTTGCTGACACTCAGTTTTTGCATATGCTGCCTGGAATAATGACTCTTTTGTTTTAACCATGTTATAGACCAATTGCTAAGTGTCAGAACTTGGCTATCTTAGGCTAGAGATAGAACCTTTCCAAATCTACTCAATAATGTTATGACGCCAGCTAATTTTTATTCACAAATATCTGAAAAACACGTTATCTTTAATTCTTCCATAAATAAAGGAGTGATATGGCTATCTAATTCGTTAAATTGTACATACATTGCTTTTTGTTGCAGGGAAAAGAACAATATAACGAATCATTTCCAGTAGTGATATGTGATTCTTCAACTCATGTCAATTTGGCATTTCGAATGACAAGTGTTAGTTTCTCTGAGGTACTGTTAGCAAACATGTTGCCTATATCTTATATTTTTTTCCATAGCTCTACTAAATGTAAATTGGCTAAGGTCTAAATATTATTGGGAAAAGAGAAAGACATTATTTTATTTATTTCCTGTAACTTATTTCATTTTCTCTGGTTCTAGGGGGTATAATTTTTTTTTATTATTATTTTATGATTAGGTTGCTGGATCAATCTCATTCTTTGAATACATTTTGTGTTAAAACATTCTTCATGGTGCCACTTCTGAAATGCAATTTACTCCTATTTTTAATTCCATGTTATGTAGAAATATTAAAATAGGACAATGTCTTGCCACTATTGTTAGAGGTTTAGAGAAAATGAAGCGCATTATGCCAACTATTTGCAGTACCTAATTAATAATTATATATTTTCTTTGAATCCATTGCTGTTATAGATGCCAAAAAATATGAAAATGTTAATTTTTTTAATTTTTTGTCTTTATTTTGTGAATATAATAAATCAGTTTTGAAGTTTAGAAATTCACATTTCTTGATTGCATTTCTGATTTATTCTTTGAACCACATAAATTCTGACTATGAGATGTGACCTGTTCTCTTCCCATTCAGCTACAAGATGAGGCTGCAATGACATTAAAATGTTTGGCAACATGTAGAGATGGTGGATTTGAAGAGGTTTTTACAACCAAGATTGACTACCCTGCTAAATATGACTATTGCATAAGGTATAATTGTTCTTCTTATGATTTTTTTTTTTTAAATTAACTATAAATTAAAAAAATTATGATCATAACTCTCATTTTTTACTGTGCTTTTCTAGATTGAATTTGAAAGGAAATGATGAGGTTTATGCATTGGGCTTTTGCTTGGATGATGAATGTTGGAGAGTATACGAGGAGAATGTACATAGTCTACTACTACAAGGATTGAGTGATAGAGCAAAAACTATACGTGCTATTTGGAGCAACACCCATGCTGGATACAGTATAGAAAATGTATGGATCAATATAAACTTAAGCTTTTGTTATTGATACTTCTCAAGTGTATTATAGAACATTTTTCATGATCGCAGGGTTTTTCTGGACTTGATAATGAGCCATTATTTATTGGGATTTCATTGAGTTCCTTAGAGAAGGCTTTTAGGGTTGTGGATATTGGTCCAAATGCTGAACACAAAGAGGAGGTATTTGAATTTCTTATAAATTTATTATACAATTTTCTTTAATGTGCTAACTTTCCTTTTCCTTTCTGTCAGGCTCTCTTGTTCCGGAAGTTTTGGGGAGAGAAGGCAGAGCTTCGGAGATTTAAAGATGGTGCAATTGCTGAAAGCACAGGTTGGGAATTGGTGTTCTCAAACACCAATTTAAATTCCATCCTTCATTCCACCCCTCCCCACTCAGAAAAAGAAGAAGAAGAAGAAATAATAATAAAGAAAGAAGAGAAAGCAAAATAGTAACTCAATGGTTATGTTTTCTCATTTTGTAGTGTGGGAGAGTGAACAGTGGGCAAGGCATCTCATTCTGAAAATAATTATTGATCATTTACTCCAACGGCATCTCTTGTTGTCAAAAGACAATGTTGTGCAAATAGTGGATCAACTTGATTTCTCCCTGCTTCATGGTGGCAAAGGTAATGCTGTCTGCTGTTTACCTGCTATCATCTTTGTGATTTTTCTCTTTGTCCATTAATCATGCAATATTTAGTAAAAGAATGTTATCATTTTTTCAGACCCAATTTCATATTCTGGAAGACTGCTTGGGGCATTTGAAGAATTATCAAAGCGCTTGCGCAATATAAAAGATATTCCGTTGAGGGTATCTAGTGTGCAACCATTAGACTCTGGTACAAATCTAAGCAATAAAAGCTTCATTCTCTCAGCATTTCCAGTAATCTCCTCAACTTTTCCCGCCTGGGCCTTTTTCTTGTTGGAATTGAGTGATGTGCTAGGGATGTTATAGATTTTCTGTTGCTAGATGATTAGGTTTTCGTGTATTTGCATGTGGTAATCTGAATGAGCTGGCGCATAGATTTGTTTTTTGTGTATTTGTTTTCAGTATCATATTTTTTTTAAGCATTTCTATCTTCTCATCCTCATTGGTCTGTAAACTACTGTGTTTATGATAATTTCACAGCATTTAGGTTGACATCCGTTTTCCCTCCTGAACCTCATCCACTTGCTAAAGAAAAGGTTGATGTGGCTAGACTTCAAAACTTTACTCCACTCTGCATTCAGACACTGGAAGTTATGGTTCAGGTATGATATCATATAGACAAGTTCTTTGGAATTTATTTTTGTTCAGTCACAGATGGAGTGTTTATTTATTTATTTGTTTTATTTTTTATTATTATCTAGTTGGAAGGCTCAGGGAATTGGCCAATGGATGATGTGTCTATTGAAAAGACTAAGTCTGCTTTCCTACTTAAAATTGCAGAGAGGTATTCATTCTGGCTTCTTTTTTTGATCCATAGCATTTAGTAAATAACAAAGCTGATCCCAGTTGCTTAGAGCTATTTCTTTCTTTCCTCACCAAAAATTTTTCTGTTAAGTCCGCTGATGAAATTCTATGTCAGTCTGCAGAATAGCTGGGGGATGCCATGTACTGCTTCTGAGGAAGATGTGGATGTTTTCTTGGATGGATATGCATTTCATCTTAGGATAATGCATGAGAGAGGCCTGAGTTTGGTGAAGAAAGAAGGTAAGAACTCTCCACTAATGTATGACTACCCATTATTCTTCTTGGTGTTGACTTTGGGAATCACCATTTTATTTTGTAGTTGGAAGTGATATCATGAAGCAGGTTTCATCTACGGATAGAAAACTTTTTCTTCAGAGTCAACATGCTAGCATGATTAATGGATTGAGGGGTCGCTATCCAATATTTGAGCCAGTTGTTAGGTGAGAATCTACATTTGTGCCATGTTGTTGATTGTTGATTCCTTTAGACAGGTGACACCTCTCCCTGGCTGGGAAATGGGAATTGTTTTTCAGGTTATAATTAGATCATTTTATTTCAATTTTTTCTTCAAAAACTCTGTTGTTAACTTCTTTTATTCTGTTTTAATGTTTGTGAAGGCTTGGAAAGCGGTGGGTTGCTTCACATCTGTTTTCTGCTTGCTTGATAGAGGAAGCTGTTGAACTGTTAGTTGCTTATGTCTTTTTGAAGCCTCTGCCATTTAATGTTCCCTTCTCAAGGGTCAATGGATTTCTAAGGTTTTGTCCTCTTCTTTTTGTGGCTGCATTTATATGAATTTTCCTTGCTGCACCAAACATGACATGTCAGTCTTTGTTATTCTAACTAAACATGTTCAGACTGAAGAAAAAGAAAACATGTTGGTAAAAATTCCTTTGCATAGCATAGCTTAGCAATCCCTGTACCTAAATTCTGTTGCAATGATGTTGGATTCAAGTCAATTTGTTGAATTACTAAACTGTGTCCTATATTTATTTCTTTTATATCAGGTTTCTGCGACTGCTGGCAGATTATGATTGGACCTTTTCTCCTCTGGTTGTTGATATAAATAATGATTTGAGCAGAAATGATGAGAAAGAGATCAATGTAAGTTCTGCGGTTCAGTAGATGACTTTGTAAGAACACATGATTACAGTGGTCTGTTTATAGTCATCCTATATCAAAACAAACTAATTGCATGCTCTGATTGTTTAGGATAACTTTATGCTAACTAGAAAAGCTTATGAGGAAAATCCACAAAATATAAGCACAGCAATGTTCCTGGCAGCAGCATATGACAAGGCATCTGAAGCTTGGACCACATCCTCACCAAGCTCATTGGTTAGAGATCCCTTTCAATTGAATTTGGTTGCAATTTAAGTTTGTGTTTAGAAACTGCTGGAAACAACAATAAGAAAACAAAAATGGCAGTCATTTGATTGCCAAACACCCAAACCACTCCAAAATCATCCCCCTTTTCTGGTTTTTTTGTTTTGTCTGTGCTCTTGCCATTTGATTTAATTGTTAGTACCACTGCCTCTTGCATGCTGACTTGTACATTTTATGGATGTGAAAGGAGCTTAAAAGGTTGGTTGCTTATGCTCGAAGCAGTGCTATCTTGTTGACAAAGCTCATCCTGGAAAATCAAACTGATACCAACAGATGGGAGGTGTGAGAGATATACTTGTCAATGTCACTGCTGCAATGCTTATTTTTCTACTGATATTTGCTTGTATACTAATAGATTATTTTGATGACCCAACTTTTGGGTTGCAGTGCCTTTTCCGGACTCCTTTGAACAACTATGATGCTGTAATTCTTCTCCACAGGGACAGATTACCTTACCCTCAACGTCTTCTCTTCCCATCTGACTTGAACCAAGGTATATCTTTGACTTTGATTTGATCACTTGGAATGTTCTATTGTGGTAGTGTTAGTTTTCTAAACGCACATGCTTTGGGCAGGGAGGCATGTGGCTCATGGGAAGTCTAGCAATGCTTTCCGACCATTCATGCTCCCTGGAGATATGAAGGGGGGTATGGAGGCACTCAAAGCTAAGCTGCTGGTAAACTTCAATCCACTGATGTGCTTTGTGGGGGATGTCGAGGCAAGTATTCTGAAATGAACAAGAAAACTTCAAGGTTGATCTTGACATCATTTGCCTTCCACTCTCACCTTCTATTTTTTCATCTGTAGAAAGAATTCCCTGGCACATTCAAATTGTGGTATGACTCACTCGGAAGTGATGCCGTTGGTCTTACATGGGAGCGATCAAAGGTATATATTTTTGCGTGTGTTTTTTTCAAATATATATATATGTATATTTCAGCATGTAGTGCATGGTTGATATTATTTTCTTCCCTTATATTTTACAAATGTTGTTGAGCTAAATCTTCTAATACCTTTTTCCCCTTTCAACAGAAACGAGAACGGCAGGATGCAGAGCAGGAAAATAAATATCTGGCAGACGAGCTAAAAGCTGTGGGTGAACTCGGGAAAGGGTTTGTGAGAGATATCTATTTGCTCAAGGCTCCAAGAATCATGAATTAAAATTTGTTTTCTTGAGACTTACTATTGGCAAATTGCCAAAATTTTGTTGTAATTTCTTTTCTTCCCTCCCCCCCCCCCACCCCCCTCCTTTTCCTGTTCCATTGGTGAACAATTAGGGGAGATTAAATGTTTGTAAATTATTTCAACTAATTTTTTTATGTAAAGAATAAAACTAACTTTGTTTAATCTATTTATCTATGAGATATAATGTGACATCTTATAGTCAAGAATCAAATGAGATTTATATATATATTCACGTAATATCATTCACATATTAAACACTATGATAATGTTGTAATACAATTCATTTTGTGTGGATTTTACTATTTTTAATTATTAATAGAGGATAAGTTTTTAATATTAGAAGGTTTACTTTTTATCAATAATTAAGTAAAGAGTAATTTATATAAGGTGAAGTATAATTTACTGTTCAAAAGTTATATATATTAAAAAATTATTGGCAGGATTATACGACGTCGTTAAGGTGAGCTAAAGTGTTAAGATGGTGCTACCCGCTGGGTGTTAACTGCTGCTCTTTGGAGTAGCTCGTTGCAGAGCTAAAATGGGGCTCCTCAGCGTCATTCGGAAGATCAAGAGAAAAGAGAAAGAAATGCGCATTCTCATGGTGTATGTCTTTCTCTCACCCGTCCTTGCTTTCTCTATCTCCCACATTCCAAAACTTACAATCCTTTTTAATGGCTGTGCAGCGGCCTGGATAATTCAGGAAAGACTACAATAGTGATGAAGATAAATGGGGAGGACACAAGTGTTATCAGTCCCACTCTTGGCTTCAACATCAAAACCATCACCTACAATAAGTAATCTTTCTCTTTACATTTCGAGTTTAATTGTTAATCTGATGTAAATCCTAAATCCTATCCACCATGGCAAAGGTTGTTACTTTGAAATTCGATAATGCCTACCAAGTATTTGAAGAAATGCCCTTTTGGGTTCTTGATGATATTGATTGAGACGAACTTAATATGGGTTTGGCAGATATACCCTGAATATATGGGATGTTGGGGGGCAAAGAACCATAAGATCGTATTGGAGGAACTATTTTGAGCAAACTGATGGTCTGGTGTGGGTGGTTGATAGTTCAGATCTTAGGAGATTAGATGATTGCAAGATGGAACTTGATAATCTTTTGAAGGAAGAGGTATAAGCTCTTCTCTCGCTTTATCCTCTTTTATTTGCAGATGAACCTGATCTTTGGATTACATTCATCTCTGCTGAAGTGTTGTTTTTCAGTTCTTATGGTTCCTCGTGGAAGCAAGCCCTATTGATTCCCCCTCCTAAAAGTTCTAGGATTGGAAATAGATAGGTCTATCACCCTTCTGTAAGCCAAAGGACCATAGCTTAGGGTGTAACCTTTTTTCTCTGTGTGCTGGATTCTACATACATGACTATGTTATTCGTGTAAAAAAAATTGATGTTTCTTTCACTACTATGGATTAGTTTTTACAAGAGCTAAAGTCTTATAATAGATATTTGGTGGATAGAACTTTAGAAGTAAATGTTACACAAAGTTCCAGAATTGTGGATGGGAATTTTTTTTTTTTTTTTTTTTTTCGCAATTCTGACTTTTTTCTTTGTTGTGACACAGAGGTTGTCAGGAGCATCCCTACTAATACTGGCTAACAAGCAAGATATTAAAGGTGCTCTTACACCAGCAGAAATTGCCAAAGTAAGGCTGCATGCCGGTAATCTATTTTCTTGGTGCTTTTTAAGAATGCAAAATGGTAATCGAAAACATCATTAAATAACATTTCTGTGATCATTAAGCATAGTCAAACACCATCTTCTTGTTGAACTGTAGTTATCTGTGGTCTGGTTTTTGTTGAAGAGCAAATTTTGAAGTAGATGTTTTGTTGTATCTTCTCTTCTTCTACTTCCAGCAGTATCCGCAGGAATGTTGTTATAAGCTGTGTACTTTTTCTCGAGCATGGAATTAAAAATCAACTCTACATTTCATTTTCACTGAGGATGATGTTGACGAAAATAAGCTCTGCACTTTTCATAGTGTTTATATACTGTGTTTGTATGATAAATTTCTGTAAATTTGGTCTGCTTCTAAGTTCTATCAAGTCCAGTTTAGCTGCTTTTGATTTGTCCATTATACTCCTAGTATATTGATAGGGACTAATATATTATTAGAATTGGATGAAGACTGCTCCTTCAACACTTAACATAACTATTTTCTCAATGAAGTTATTATTCTCTTTAACACTTTTGGGTTTCTAATTATGTTTGTGAAGGTACTTAATCTGGAAGCAATGGACAAAACTCGACACTGGAAAATTGTGGGGTGTAGTGCATACACGGGTGAAGGGTTGCTCGAAGGATTTGATTGGTTGGTCAAGGACATTGCCTCACGGATCTATGTGCTGGATTAATTGTGGGGTGTAAGTGTAATGCAAACATGGGGTGGAAGGCTGCTTGAGGGATTTGATGGGTGAATTAGTATACATTCTATGTTCACTTGTTTAATGTGAAACAGAACGAAACTTGAACGCCCCTAATTATCACTATTTAAAACAAATTACCCGAATAAATTGACATGTTACAAAAATTGATGCAAATTGATAGTAAAAATAATATAGTTTTTTTTTTTTTGAACATATTTGCAAGGGGCGGGTTTCGAACCCAGCCCGGGGGAGAGGGGAATGCACCGAGGTGGCTATTGTCACTAAGCCGCAAGGGCCAGGTGCGCAAAAATAATATAGTATAGTTGTAGAATTAAAACAAATAAATATTAAAATCTAGTGCTCTCGCAGCTCTTTTTTTAGAGTAGAAAATGATATGCAAAGACCTATTAAAAGCCGACGGTCAAAAGTTGAGAGCTCGGCGGATTAACATTAAAAAAGAGGCTGAAAAGAAAACAGCAAAAGTGAAACTAAACAACATTTAGAAAATCCTAACAGACGAAACTCCAAATTCGCCTTAAATAAAAGGGTGTGAATAGATTTTTTTTTAAAATAAAGATAAATTATCATTTTAAATTATTAATTAAAATAAATTATTTATTATTTAATGTGTGATATCATTATGTGTTTAATTTTTTATTAAAAAATACTTAAATAACAAATAAATTTTTTAAAGTAATGACATTATATATTAATTAAAATAAATTATTTATTATTTAATATGTGACATCATTACATGTTTAATTTTTTATTAAAAAATACTTAAATAATAAATAAATTTTTTAAGGTACTGACATTATAAAGTAAATAATAAATAATTTATTTTAATTAATAATCTATAAAGGTAATTTACCTTTTACAAAAGATAAATCTATTCATACTCTCCTATTTGAGAGATAAATTTAGGAATTATGCCATTCTAATATACTTTTCAATCAAAACACGATATGAGTCTCCATGGTTGCATTCATTCTTCAGTCAATTTCAAATGCTTCAACCTGCATAATATAAAATTAAATTACTAACATGCTCGAAATTATTATGAATGAATTTTTGCTTGAATCATACTTTTTTTTTCTTTTTATTTACATCTACATCAACAAATCAATACTTATTTAGCGATGGATCATACTGCTTATCAAGAGGAAAAACCGAAAATAGAGAAAACATAAATTACCTTAGTTCTTGGTTTCTAATGCCGCTGTTTCTACCAATCTTCTTGTACTTGGGAATAGGCACTTTGCCTGATTCGATGAGCCTAATATCGTATAAAAGAATCTCGTACATTCTTCTCACTTCCTCCTCGTTTGTCCCTCCGACTGCCTCCGCCACTTTCCGCCACCGATCCGGAACACCTTCATCGTACCTCGCCAAAGCGTTTTCAAACAATTTGCACCGCTCCGCCGTCCAATTCGACTTGTCGCCGGAAGAGATTGCACCGGACGCCATTGTAGCCCCTGCTGACTTCCGCTAGACCAAGAGTATCAAAGAAAGAAAATCAAACGGCAATTACTAAATTGAGCGCACACCGTGTATGGAAGTTGGTACATATCGATACAATTTATACTAGCATATTATAGGATAATTAAGAGCATAAAACATCATGATATACATTATTCAATTGCTTCATTATCAAGTCTAGTGCAGAGAATAGGTACGATGTTTTGATAAAATATATTATAAGATGTGCGTTTTGTAAAGTGATTGGAAGTTTCACATTCTGGAAAAAGATGAGATGATGATGAGCTTAATAGCTGTCAGAATAGACTTAATTGATACCTTGATTATCTGATCTAATCATCTACTTTATTCCACCTAAAATTCTAAGATTATCACTTTTATTTTCAGGTTCTTTTTATAACGCAATGATTAATTATATTCACAATAGAAATATAACTTTAGCTCTTCTGTTTTCTAAATTTTTTTGTTATCTCAAATTCTCAGCGTCATTATACTCGTTTTTATAAAAGTAATAATAGATACTTGTCATCTACTTAAATAATTTGATTATTATTTTTTTTTATTAAAAGTAAAAGATCTTGAATTTGAGTCGCATAGCATACGGATGAAATGAGATAAATGATGAGAGATAATTGTTTTTTATTGTGCAACTAAAATAAATAATAATAATAATAATAGATACTTTTAATAAAATAATTTAATAATTAAGAATTTAAAATTTTAAGTTAAAAATGTTAAATTTAAATCTTAACT